AATACATCAAACATACAATCTTAGCTTTGTGTGTTTTAAACAATTTGAAACAAAAAATAAGTAGTTTGAAACATTTATCTCTCCAGAATGAATATAACTTAAAAAGAAGCAAAATCGGTATTATAATATAACTAAACATTCTCCATAAGATAGTTTAGGTGATAGTAGTTCTTAAGGAGATACTATGATAATCATAATCGATTTTTTAGTAACAATTATATATAATAAGACGATTTTAAATGTTTATACAAACCTTGCACAAGAAGGATGTAGATAGTTAGAATGGCTAACAAGACATGAAAGAATTTCTTCATCTTTTACAATACAAATGAATTGGAGATGTTTAAAATTTACCAAGAATATATATATATTCAACATTCAAGCATATATTATAATTCAACCAAATTTGATTAAATTCCTTTTAAAGGGATATTTTTATTTAATTATTCGAAATTTTATTCCAATTTAAGAGGGTATTTTTATTACATTATTCCAGATTTTTGGGTCATTCAATATGTAAAAAGATTTGACATTATTGTAAACACTAGAAATTGATTGGTAAGATGCACAAATTTAATACTGTATATTGTTCTAATTTATTTGATTTCATTTTTGTATGTCTCTTATTAATTTTGTTCACTTTAAATAACTAGAATCCATCATTTGTAACATTTGAAATCTGTAGATATTTTTGAGAATTTTTTAATCTATATATAGTCAGTGGCCTGTTCTTTTGAGAGTCGCGAGAATCTTACGGCGACACATGTTTAAACTTTAAAGAAGCCAATGAACATGAGATAGTCACTGTTTCAAGAAAAAAAGTTTGGGAAGAAGCGGTGAAAGAGAAGTTAAGGCATTTTTTTGTTCCCGATCGTTGTCACTTCGACTCATTCCCGAACAGAGTTTATATCTATACAATATATATCCAATCAGTGACATATTATGGTATATGGTTTTAAAGCAATAAGAATGTATCCCATTGATGGCATTATAGTTGAATGGTAAATTTACACAACATGGTCGTTACCCATCATAAGCCATAATCAGTCCCTGTTATTCCAATTTTTTTTTTTTGTCCTAAACTGCTATTTGTTATAAAAAAAATTATATGTTAACTTCAAACTCAAATCTCAACTTAATCTAGCATTCTTCGATTCGCCATTTTCAGATTGATCGATAGGTTTGATTCATTATTTATAATAGTATAAATCAAGTATATGTAATGATGATGTAAAAATACTTTACATAATAAATCATTTGGTGTACATTATTTCTCCAAAAAAAATCTTTCATGTATAATCAATAGGGATAAAAAAATTTTTAAAAAAAATAAATAGATTTTTTCTTACATAAATTTATTTTTACTATATTAATTAAAAGTTTAAAACCTATTGACATACTACAACTCATAACATCATAAAATTCATATGTGGTCAATCTTAAAATACAATTTTTTGGTTGACAAATGAGGACATAGCTTTTAAGAAAGGGACGGTGATACTGAGTTATCGTTGGGCAAAAGAGAAAATAAGTGGCGGAGATGGCGTTATACGGTAGCGATGGTCCAGGAGAGACATGTTAGAAGATTAAGGTAAGATTGAGGAGTAATGTTTTTAATGTTAGAAGGGTATAATAGTAACTGACCCATTCTAGAGTGAGATCTACACTCAAAACTCAAAACTCAACACCGTCTAACTTCAACGAATGTGTCGGCGTCAACGACTCTGACGTCAATTGTATTTCTAATGAATTATTAGAACCTTAATTGTACGTCCAACTGCTAGAAATCTCTGCAAACGCAATTTTAGATCGCTGGTCGCAAAATATTAAACGGATATTAACTTAACAAAGTTGTAAATTCATTAAAATCAAATTTATCCAGAAATACATCGGATTTGCATGAAACATATTCGTAGCTCAAATTACATAATTAATAACAAAAAGAAAATGTATTAATTATTTAGTATTTTTTAGCAAAAGCATTGATCAAGGCTAAGGCGTTGCTAGTTCCTCTTCCCAAATTCACGATACGTGCCCGGACCGAGTTCTTGATCCGCCCATCCATGACCCGACCCGCAAACCCATCGGAGCAAGTGTTTGCATTAGTCAAAGCAGCGCTGGTCCACGTTTGAGCATTGCTCATGTGGAACCAAAACTGGTCACGACCTTTAGCACTACCACACATCTTCACTTCATGGATCGACTTGGTTAAACGGTCAACGGCATCATGGATCTCCTCAATACAGTCCTTAATGGCTTGAATCTCTCGTTTATTAAGAGTCTTGAAACGCCCCAAGCGCCAGACGAAGACCTTAGTCGACTGTGCCTCGGTCACGGTCACATTGAGTGCGGTCTCGGCTAGACGTCGAGGGCTTGTTTGGATGGAGTTGGCGTAACCTGAGAGAGCGTTGACGCATACGGTTGGGTATGTAGTGGCTTTGCAAGAGGCTTGTATGAAGTTTATAGCACGTTTTGAAGTTATTGCGGCCACGGGGGCGGAGGACGCCGTGAGAATCGTCGTGGATAAGAGGAATAGAAAGAGAGTGTAGAATATTTGTTGTGCCATTTCTTTTGAAATGTTTTGATTTAGATAATATTTTGTGGAGAGGTAAAGAGTCGGTTTTGAGTTTTTATAGTGAACTAATACGTACTCTTTTGTGTACGTTTGGTTTTTCTTAGGGTTTATAAAAATAGAATAACTAATATGCTTTGACTTTGACTCTTTGGTCGATTATTTTTTTCCAACTGGGGTCTAGATTAGTAGTTGGAAATAACCAGAATTGTCTGCTATTAACTACTAAGAATGTACTATGGCAATTATATTTATTTATTCTTCTTGACCAAAAAATTAAAATGGGAATGAAAAGAAAATACAACAAACAATTTCTAGGATTTTTCGTAAATTTTAGCAGAATGGACTTCTGGTGTGAACATGCTTTTATCTTTTTTTTCTTTTGTATTATTGTTGTTATTGTGAAAACTAAAACGAAAACAGGTTGTGGCATCGATTTATTTTCTAGGAATTATGGCATCCCAACACAAAGTACTCAATAATCAAAGTGAAGTGGATTGTGTACCTCAGCTTAAATACTATTTTAGATTCATCTTCATTTCCAATATAAATGAAACATTCTAGCATCACCATCACTCCATCAGTCACAAACAAAAGGTTTGATTTTATATATGTTTGACAAAAACACGTATATATAGATATATGTAAGGATACATTATACATATTTACTATCACTCAAAGTATATCTTTTGCCTTTACTTCAATATCTATATCAAAGTATTTTATATTCATCCGGCAACTAACAAAAGATAGAAATTGAATTGGGCGACTAATAAAGAAATGGATAGTGGATTTGAACCTCAAATCATTCCAATTGCAACAATAGGTACACTTCTAATTAGTCTGGCCCACTTCCAAAGATATGCTATATAACCAAATTAGGCGACTAATGTATCTCATTATTGACAAAAAGATGTACAAATTAAATTTTAAAATAAACACAAATAATAGAGACGTTGTTATTTTTTGTTTTTTGATATTTTTGAATCGACGAGTCCTGATCCATAGTCAATTCTTATTACGCGGGATAACACGATTTATTGAAGTCAAACTCCAATAAAAAAGGTAGAATCATATGGAATTAACCACCTAACAACTTAACATGTAAAGATATTGTTCATTTGCGACTAATGTATTTTATACTACATTTTTGTTTCAAGGTAAGCTATAGATAACTATTGCTTGGGGTGGGCTCTCAAGTCTCAAGACTGTCGGTCAAAGATATGAACTTCTTCTACAATTTGTTACATACACACTCATATAATATATATCCATATATGTTGGTTAAAGAAGAAAAAAAGTCTATACTAGTAAAAATAAATTAATTTGGGAGCTGGGCATATGGTTTCACATGCACTTATCTGATATCTCAGTGCTCTTTTTTCAATATTTAAATTTAAAGAGTTTCACACTTACCGTTTTTTTTGGTCAACTCACACTTACCTCAATCCTCGTTCAACAGTCAAATTAAAGAGTTCACACTTATCTCAATACTATCTTTCAATCGTCAAATTTAAGAGTTTCACATTCCGTTTAAAATTTTTTGAAGAAAAAGTTCTTAATGTTATTATCATTACTTTCTTAAGAGTGTTTTAAAATTTAACATTCATTTTTATTAGTGTCGATTTATGCCTTTATCTAAACGTCTTACGTCTTTTAACGTTATTATCATTTTTTAATGAAATATTTACATTCTTATTCGCTTTACGTACGATAGGCCTCACGTCAGAATGCGGAGAAGGCAACAATAGTTATATGCACGTGATACGCCAATTGTGGTCCATAAATTTTTGGGGTCACGAACTTACGATATGGCCGACATATATATCACTTTGTAGTTGATCTATTTAAAACTCAACTCTTATCTTAAAAGTATATCTCTCTTTAACTCTTCAGTCAGACAATTGAAGAAAAAATCTCACTTAATTTTTTCCTTGTATCACTTTGTAATTTACATGACTCGAAGTGTTATTGAACTTCAGTTTGAGTATTAGAAATGTTTTCAGAAAATAAGGCACATCCAAATGGAGAAGGCAACAATAATGATTTGCATGTCACTACAGGAAATGTGGGTATTAATAGCGGCCGAAAAACGCAATTATTCATCTACCATAGCGTTTCCTTAAGCGCTCTAACATCGCCCGTTATAGAAAGTCGGACACTTTTGATAGCGGTTTTGCGTTGTGCAATAGTTAAGTATACAACGATAGCGTTGTCTTCTGTGCAATTGTTAATGTTTATAATAGCGTGATAAAGATGTTATTAAAACTCGTTAATTAGATTTTACCTATAGCAAAGATAGCAAATGTTGTGTTATTAGTTTGTTTTTAAATTATTCAAAATAATAAATAATTACGAATTATTTTTTAATTTAAATATAATATTTGTAAAAAAAATTAATTTCGAATATTTGTAAAAAAAAGTACCATTAAAATTAATACAAAATATATAAATATTAAAATGTTTAGTAACCCATTTCAAATTTCATTGTTTACAAAAACCACAAACATACCTATCAATCTACCACTAACAAACCTTCACAATCATCCCTAACATAAACAATATCATCATCAAAAGCTTCATCATCCAAATCATCGACTTCTTTGATCAGTCTTGATCCATCTTCTGGGATGTTGGAGCCGAGAAACGATTTGATGCTTTCATCATTTAGCTCACCTAAACAAGGAGAATCCATTGAAGTAGTTCTAAGTATTCTTGGAGACTCCATTGAAGTAGTTCTATGTATTTTGGGAGATTTTGGTGTTGGTGGTAGACGCGGAGACTCTATTGAAATAGTTCTCTGTGTTCTTGGTGATGCCATTGGCACATTTGCTGCAGTGGCTGATGCCGACCCAGCTTCAACTTGCTCCATTGATGTCTCGTGCGCTGCTACCAGTTCCCCAAAATCTAACCCGGAGCTCACTAATTCGTCGTATCTTCCTGACTGCACAATCATTCCATCTCGCATAACCTGTAAAACAGATTTACTCATTAGCAAATTCCTATAAAAACTCAACAAGTTTTAGTTTTTTGTTCCAACGAACTGTACCAAGATGCGATCAACGTTGTGAAGGAAGTCCACTTGACGAGTTACTAACAAGATAGTCTTTCCTTTTAATGCTCCCCTCACACATTTCTGCAGAAAGAGAAAGAAAATTTAGCTTTATGCTTTTGGTTTCTATGAACTTAACTGAGAGATCAAGTGCTCACCTTAAATATGTCTGAACCCGTATGAGCATCCACGGCGCTACAGACATCATCGAGTAAGACCACAAACCCGAACCTTGCCTGAAAGTTTGTGCATTTCGCCGAGAACTGAAGCTAACAATGAAGACTTCCCTGACCCCAACGGTCCCTACAATCGCAGGCTCCCCTTTCTTAACCTCAAAGTTAATGTTTTCAATTGCAGGCTCGTCGTCTTCATCATCCCAACTAAAACTTCCATCTTTGATCTCCACAGCGACATTCCCATCACACCCTTGACTCCTTTCCAGTCTCTTCCGATAGCTCTCTGCTCATCATGTAAGCGTCGTCCAAAAAAACTATCCTGTTAACAATAAAGAGAGAAATCAAACTTATGATATCATGACAACGGAACAAGGAACCAGAGATTCAGACAACAAACAAAGAAACAAACCTTGGAGTTCTCGTTGTTTGTAATTGAATCCCACTTCTCCTGAACCTCTGCTGGAATTTTCAACAGAATCTTGCTTCTTCTCTTCTTCTTCCTCTTCGTCTTCTCAAGACCAGACTCGTCTTTTGAAACAGAAATGTAGGTTTTAGGGATTTGGTGAGAGAAAGATAAAAAGAGAGAAGAGGAGAAGAAAGATAGCGAATTTGGGGCTGTTGCAGAGGAAGCCATTGTTGGTCGATGAGCTCACCTATCTCAACGAAGAAGAAGAAGACTGAAAGTTTTAACCTATCCCATAAGATGTAAGATCTAAGAACAGATCGTACTAAGGAAGAGAAAGCCAAAAGGAAAAGAAGTTTTAACCAAAAAAAAAGAAAAGAAGGAGAAACGTTTAGCCGTCGGATTAAATTCATCAACGGTGGAGAATAAGCCCAGAGTGCAATCTCGGTAGTTACTCCTTATTGGCTAAGAACATGAACGGCTCAGATCAAATCATTGAGACAGATCAACGGTGTATATTAATCACGTCAACAATAAGAAAGGATGGCTCAGATCAAAGTCGGCGCGATCTAACGGTGTAGGATTCGTCCCACAATGTGGGAGGTGAGTTCTCATTGGCTAATAATGAAAAAATCAGAAAATTATCATATAAAATTGTTTATTAATGAAAAAAATAGAAATTATTTCTTTAAAAATTCAATATAAGTATTTCAATTTTTAGAATATTTTTTCTTATAAGTATAAAATTTTAAAATTAAGAACAATTAATATAAATTAGTATTCCAACTATCTAACTTATATGTTCATAAACACTAGGGCATAGTTTAGGGTTTAGGGTTTAAACTTTGGGGTTTAGATTTTTTTACTCAAGTTAGATAGTTTTTGGATTTTAATTTAGGATTTTAACTTTAATTTAGGGTTTAAAGATTTAATTTAATTAGGATTTTAACTTTAATTTAGGGTTTAGGGTTTAGGGTTTAGGGTTAGAGATTTAATTTAATTAGGATTTTAACTTTAATTTAAGGTTTAAAGATTTAATTTAATTAGGATTTTAAAGATTTAATTTAATTAGGATTTTAAAGATTTAATTTAATTAGGATTTTAACTTTAATTTAGGGTTTAGGGTTTAGGGTTAGAGATTTAATTTAATTAGGATTTTAACTTTAATTTAAGGTTTAAAGATTTAATTTAATTAGGATTTTAAAGATTTAATTTAATTAGGATTTTAAAGATTTAATTTAATTAGGATTTTAACTTTAATTTAGGGTTTATAGACTTAATTTAGGAATTTAATTTTTTTATCATAATATTACAAAATGTACCAATATATACCATAATATTACACAATGTACCATTACCATAATCTAATTTCACAATACTAATATTACATAATCTAATAAGTTTCTTATACACATCCAAACTATATACAGAACTAGAGAAATTGAAATCAAATGCATGAAACGACAATTACAAAATGTCAATTGAAGTTTACAAATGTTAAGTAAACACATTTATAACTTGATTTGCTAGAAACTCCATCTCCATATCGGGAACCACCTTGTGAGACGCTTGTGCTGCTTGAATGAATCGCCTGAAACACAAAACAAGAAAATGACCTTAACACTTTTTCAAAAAATTTTGATAGGAAATGTAATAGTGATAGAGTTTACCTGAGAAATGTTTTGGTGGTGGGAACAAGTGGTAATGACTCAGAATCTTGAAATTTTTGTTCAAACCTCTGCAACATGAACATTTTCATATATACTTGGAGCATAAAAGCTGTAAAACTCAGGATCTTAGTTCATGCTTGTACCTGCAACAAAAATAGAGGATTCAACACAAAGATAGTGATTTTGCTAGGCAAAAGAAGCTGAATGACTCTTTCTTCCTTACAGTTGCACGAAGGTTAGAAGAGTTTGGTGCCAAATGATAGGCATTACTCATTGCACTGACACATATTACTCAGAAATTTTAGAATTGAATTTGTCATCAATCAGAATGTTGCTAGACTTAATGTCTCTGTGCACACATGATCTGAAACCACGAACTATGATACTTAGAGCACACATTCAATTTATTATTACTACTGAGCTATATCTAATCAATTTATTATCTGATTATTACTACTGAGCTATATCTAAACATATATATTCATATGCACATAATGAAACATGTGAACAGAACCTATGTGTATTTACCTAATTATAGAAGCTGCATCATTCTCTGGACAACCAAAACTACTTCCTCCTGCAGAGGACATTCAAATTGGAGAATCTCACATATTATACAGCTTAAAAATTGGCAAAGATGTTGTTTGTCAATTAGACTTCTCAGATTCTTTTTATCTTCAGATCTTAGTTCATGCTTGTACATACACTTAAGCATATAAAGGGATCGTACTGAGACAATATCACTATTCGCAAAAAGATATATGTGAATCAATCATCAATTTAGCCAAATCAGAGAACAAGCAAAGATAAATCCGAAATAAATAAGTGGAGCAAATAATATCTATTAACAGTTCTAGGACATCAAAATTTCTGCAGCTACTGAGCAAACTAAGAAGCTACAGATGACAATCAAAGCAATACAGATCCTAAAACATATGCAAACGACCTTTATGCAAGACAAGTGTGAAAATTTTGTCTTATGAACATTGAACTAGAGGGTTAAAGAAAGAACCTGCTGTAAGTATCATCAGTATCTTCAATTAAATGATAACTCTGCAAAGCCTTAGCGTTGATCACAGCCTCCATGCCAGATGGGTCTTTCAAAAACTCATTGAAAGTCAGCTTCTTTTCTCCATTAATCTGTAGCTTAATCCTCTATTACCTTTGCTACTTTTGCACCACAAGCTGCAGCAAGTATTGAAGATCCAGTTGATATATTGACTTTGTTTTCTCCATCACCTCCTGTTCCAACTATGTCCACAGCATCGACTAATCCTAGCCAACCCCACAATCTACCCAACATCGTTTGTTTACTTAGTGAAGTGCTTTACTTAGTGAAGTGCTATAATTTAGAATTATGTATGTTTTTTGTATACGCCTAGCTTGACTTACTTCTTCGTATGTCTCTCCTTTAGCTCTCAGGAGAACCAGAAAGGCACTAATTAGTGCATCGTTTGCCTCGTTCGACAAAAACTCGAGAGATGATTAAGCCTCAGCTTCAGATAGATCAACCCGATCAATCAAAGTCTCAATCAACTGAGAGAAAAAAAAATAGAACAGATCAAACACATTATGAGAACATAGTAATCTCAATATCTAGATATCTATCTTCAAAGCCATTGGAAGCTCAACAAACTAAAATTCTTTAAAATCCAATCAAGTAATACGTAATACAGTGTCACTCAAATCCAAGCCATACAAATGAAATTTAAAGAACATATAAGACCAAACATGTTTAGTCAGCATGAAGCAAGTGAGTCAATCTATAAGTCAGAAAAAAAAAACAGATACAGATATTAACTAGTAGATTTATCAAAGACCTAGAAACAAGGGATTAAAATCAAAATCTCACCTGGTTGAAAGATTTGATGGAAGAAGGAGTGGCATTTTCACAAACATTTGGCAGAGCTTCAGGTGCACTGAAACCACTGATTCCACCGCTCAAACCAAGATTCTGAGAGCAAACGAAAGAACTGCAGCAATTCAAGGGGTCAAGAGCACAATTAGATTGCTAGATTTACATTAAGTGACCACAAACAATTCCAGAGGATGTGTGTTACTCTAAGAAACAGACACAAAACCCAAAAATGGAGGCTTTACCTGCGACTAAAGGAAGATTGGGCATCTCCGCGAATTGGGGACACAACTCCGATCGATGAGAATCGTCGCCGACTCAATGTCGGATAAATTCTAACTCCGGTCTGGTTGGTTTTTCCGAAACTACTGGACCCATCATCTGCGGCGTTGACCGAAGTTAAGATCCATGTTGTTGACTGTGACAAATCGAGAGAAATCGAGAGAGACAAAGTGATTTTTGCCTTAGGAAAAAAAATGAAAAAGTGATTTTCTTGTTTTAATTTATTTTGCCTTAGCCAAATTTCTCATTTTTCCCTCTTAACATTTTCAATAGCGGGAATTACACTTTAGTAACCCAAAACTTGGCCGCGTGAATTTCATTTATCCCGCTTCAATCATTTATAGCGTTTACAATTCACAAAACGCTATCGAATAAGTCAAACATAGCAGAGACATTAAAAACGCTATCTTTTAGTGCTATCAATACCCACATTTCCTGTAGTGTGTGATGCGTAAATGCGATCCATAAAGTTCTGGGGTTATTAACTTACCAAACAGCCCATACCATATCTTGCTATAGAGATTTGTAATTGATGTATTCAAAACTCAACACTTATCTTATATCTCATTTTAATTTTTCAGTCGACAACATAATAAATATCAGTTTATGAGGCCGCTTTGCGGTGGGGTCTGTCACTATAAAAAGTTTACTCTAACAGTTTTTAGAGAAGTGATGGTATCCTAGTGGTATTTCCTTCTCACAGATGACTGCCAGAGGTCTCGAGTTCGAGTCTCTCTATCACCACGGTGGTACTGAACCTCTCCAAATAAAAACTCCTCCATACGAGTAGGGGCAAGCGGTGTATACTAACCCGTAGGTCCAGGCTGGAGGTGGAGTTTTTCCTGGATATGAGGCCGCTTTGCGGTGGGGTCTGTCACTATAAAAAGTTTACTCTAACAGTTTTTAGAGAAGTGATGGTATCCTAGTGGTATTTCCTTCTCATAGATGAGTGCCAGAGGTCTCGAGTTCGAGTCTCTCTGTCACCACGGTGGTACTGAACCTCTCCAAATAAAAACTCCTCCATACGAGTAGGGGCAAGCGGTGTATACTAACCCGTAGGTCCAGGCTGGAGGTGGAGTTTTTCCTGGATATGAGGCCGCTTTGCGGTGGGGTATGTCACTATAAAAAGTTTACTCTAACAGTTTTATTAACGTAAAATACGCGGTACATTAGGAAACTCTCGCGCGTGAGTCCGACGCGCGGCGATTTTTTTCTCTCCCGACCACACAAAAACACAACCCTAGATCTGCCTCCTCCGCCTCTCCGTTTGCGGCTCTCCTTGCCGGCGAACGGGGAGGGCTCTTCCTCCTCCACCTTTCTTGTCTCTGTTACTTCTCCTCCTCCCTTGCTCCGTCGTTAAGCTTCAGATTCCGATCTGTCCCTTCGTCTCTAGTTGGTGGTTCGCAGTGGGTTCCTTCGCACGGTGGCAAGGAGAGTCCCGCCATGCTCGTCCGGTTGTTCTTTGGGCTTCGATGTTTGAGGACGGCATCGGTACGCTTTCATGACTCCGGCAATGCGTGGCTTTTGTGTTCTCCTTGTGCGGCGGAACTCCTTTTTCTGCGGCGGTTGTGGCTGTTGATGAGGCGTTTGGGTTCGCTGCTCCTCCTAGCGACGGGTTTCTTCTCCGATCTGAAACAAGGTGGTGCATCGCCTTAGTTTTTCCAGATCTTCTTTTCGTCGGTTTTCTTCTCGGCTGGGCTTTTCAATGGTGGTCTCGGGACGGTGGTTCTCCTCTTCTCGGCCTCTCCTTCTTCTGTTTCCCAAGCTCTCGGTGGAGGTGTGTGAGGTTTTGGCTTCTCGGCTCTTTTGGAGGCCGAACTAGGTTTGGGTTCTCTGATCCAATCCTTTGTTGGGTTCGTAGCGGTTGGATCGCTGTGGTGGTTCTAGGTTTGGGTGGTCAGCGACTCCCCTCTATTTTTGGGCTGGTGATGGTGTGAGTTCATTAGCCGAAGCATTGGTTTCCTTTGCTTCTCGTCAAGTCACCTCGGTACCTCTTCAGTTTGCTCGAAGTTGGAACTTGTTTTCTTGTGTTTGTTGTTGTTGTTGTTTGTGCTTAGGCAGTGGTGAAGGTGCGCGTCATGCTCGAGTGGAGTCTTCTTGAGAAGAATAGAGGCGGTGCTTTGGTCAATGTGGCATCGTTAATCCGTGGGAGATGGTTCCTGTCGTTGTATAGGAATGGCGACCGGAGGTGGTTTCTCTTGTTGCCCGTAGATGCTCCTGTAACCGTCGGGTTTGTGTTTTAGTCCGTTATTGTCATCGCGTTTTTGCGTTAGTTTGCAGAGAAGCTGTAGGCGCTTTATCCAGAGGTTTTGAGGACGGGCTTCTGATAGGGTTTGCTCGTGGCAACTAAGATGGGACTCCAGCTCCTTCGAGTTGTGGAAATCACGCAAATTTCTGAGTTTGGCTACTCGGAATCGGTGTTTCTTCTTTCGCTTCTGCTCTGGTCTTACGCTCGCCTTCTTTGTTGTTTTGTTTTTTATTGTTTATTCTGTAGATTTTGTTTTTTCCGCTACTTGTATTCTTTGTAATTTCTGTCGAAACTTCGAAAATGGTATAAAATCTTCACATTTTACTAAAAAAAAAAAAAATATCAGTTTATTTTGTTACCCTTTTTTCTACATACTATTGTGTCACTTCATATTTGACATAACTCGAATTGTTGGACGATGGAGGCCACTACCACATGTTCACGTGGTCGTGAGTATTGATCGCATTATTCTTATTTTTTTGACTAATTAAGAAGATCTCATTATTTGTCACATGTCAATGTTAAACTAGGTAACTACATACGTCATGTAGGAAGTAGGATAAATTGATGGGAAAAAAACTTGTTTGACTCTAATTATTAGATAAACTCATAAAAGGTATGGGTTAATCTAGTTATTTTTTTGACCGAAATACCATTTGTCTCTTTGACAGGAAAAAAAAAAAAAGTCAATAATATACTCTTATTATTTCAAAACGTGTTTGATATTTTTGCCAAAAAATAAATCTACCGTGAAAAGTTTGTCGGCCTAGTTGTGACAGATTAATTTTCGACGACAGATTTAATGGTCCACGACAGATTTTTTACGGCAGTTTTTTTTTCTCTGACAGATTTATTTGAATATGGTTATGACAGATTTTAAAATTGTAGCAGTTTTTTTTCTTCGACAGACTAATTTGCTCTTGACGCCACAGACTTCCGTAATTTTGACAGTTTTATTTCAGTGTATAGCAGATTTTTGTTTCTAGTGTCAGCAGACTAATATTTTTCAGAACAAATCTGTCATAAAGCAGCAGATTTGTTAAAGAAAAAATAATTGCTAGTTTGACTTTTTAGTTGTGACAGATTGTTTTTATGTTATGACAGATTTTTAAATGTCAACATAAAATCTGCAGTGTTATAGCAGATTTGTTTTTTAAAAATAAAAATTGCTAGAATAACATATAGTCCCAACAACGTTATGATAGTTTTTTTTTATGTTATACCAGATTTTTAAAAAGTCTGGTGTTTCATAGCAGATTTTTTAAATTGAAATAAAATGATTAGAATGACCTATTTAGTGACAGCAGATTTATATTTGTTATGACAGACTTTTATTATATTATGACAGATTTTTAATATTTATTTGAAGTCGGAATATATGTTGTAAATATCATGTGTGGCAGTTTTTTTTAAAATCTGAAATATAGCGACACCGCAGACATACTTGTAACGTGACAGACTTTTTAAAATTAACTGCCAAATCTGATTTAAAAAAATATTAATTACGATCATAACTTACCATATTTTCTAGGGTTTTGTGGCATCAGTTACGGTTTACTTTCTCCTCCATTCTCACTACGACGCCACAATCTTTTTCTACAGAAAACGTTCATCTCTTTTAGGGTTCCTATTCAAGTAGATTTGTTAAATTTTTTCCATTTTTGGTTAATTCTCTTTACCTTTTCTTTCAATCCACGTTTTATTATACGATTTGGAGTTCTATCAATAATGTTTCAAACCAGAGGGAGTGGATTGGATATGAATCAGGTGATCCTAGTATGTGGCAAATGGATTTTCGAGAAAAATATATGATCGTTTGTCATTGATAACAATAGGGGATGTCGCGTGATGGAAGTTAACCGTGAAACAAGTTACGATCAATGCATTCAAATGGTCTTTGAGGATTATGGGCTGCAAAAGAGAGTCTGCGATGTTGTCTTGAGCTACGAGATTTCGAAGATGATGTCGCAGTCCTTACCTGGTGATACACCACCAGTTTTTATAAGTAATTCTAGACAGTTTCACACTTTTCTAGGGTTATTGAAGAGCAATACAATTCGTCTATGTGTGGAAGTGAAAAGGAAAAACTCGACTCACTCCAATGAAATCGACAATGAAGGTGTCACTGCTAACAAATTTCAGAGAAAACGAGGAAGAAACGAAAACGTGATGGAAGAAGAAGAAGAAACTGATTTGTCTCAGGAACTCGCAGCCGCGGTTGAGGTAGACGAGGAAGATGAGGAAATTCGATTTGATTACTGCGACGATTCTGACGGAACAGACTCTGATGACGGAACAGACTTCTGGGATTCCACCAGAAGAAAAGGAAAAACCTAATTTACCAATGAAGAAGAGGAGTCTAGGTACTTTCATTGAAGAACAAAAAGAAGAAGATCATTATGCAACGTTAGAAATGTCTGCTGTAGAATTGGCTGTTGGACAATGTTATGAAACGAAAGAGCATTTGGAGACACGATTGAAGATACTTACCGTGGTTCAAAAATTTGATTTTTTTGTTTATAAATCGACACCATTTATATTGGTTGTCAAGTGCTGGGTTCAAGGTTGTACGTGGAAGGTACGAGCTACACCAACAAACGACTATCCAAAGTTTCATGTTCGTAAGTTTGTTTCGGAACATACATGTTCAGTTACAGACCGTTCTGCACGTGCTCGACAAGCAACGCATGATATACTTGCTGTGTTGTATAAGGATTTTGTTGGTGGAGTTGGACCCACGGTATTGCCAATGCACGTTGCCGAAGCGATGAATAAAAGGTTTCAGATAAAGGTACATTTTTTGACTCAT